CGTTCCGAGCCCTGCGTCTCACCCCGTGCGCTTTTACGTCACCTTTCGCCGGTTCAACAACCTGTTCCCGATCTGCGCATGCGCCCTCCTGAAGCATTCGCCTGTTCCCATGGAAACTGGCCCCTCACCACCTGCACCGTCGCACTCTTCCCCCGAAGCACCTGGTTCTGGGCTCTGGGCCAGGGTTAGGGCCAAGGGCGACCTCGGGGACCCCGCGACCTGCCGCTCCCGGGCCGCCGCGCCTGGGCCGCATGACAGCAATGGGAGGACCGGCTGACCTTTGCTAAACACTTCGCGCCGGGCGCTGTATGGGAAAGAGCCCCGACTGCAGGCTCGAGGCCCACACCCCCCACGAGCGATTTTCCCCGGGACAAGTCGCCAACCTCCATAAGCCTCAGTTTCTCCGTCTGTAAGAACAGAGACGCCAACAGCTACCTCCCAGGGCGGTCGTGCGCACCGAATGACTATTTATAAAGTGCTTATTGTTCCCCGCGCCTCTCCTGCCCGCTCCAGCGCCTCCAGACCTTCCCGCTTCTGCACCCAGACCCTCCTCTCAGCCCCCCTTCCCCACTACCCCAGGTCTTACCCTCTCCCCGGCACCCTTTCTCCCAGGCTACTTCCCCCTACCACCTCTCCGTCCTTGCGCACCCTTCATGCCCCCAAGTCTGCAGGTTTTTCTCACCCCCCGAGACATCCTTTCGCTCATCCAGCAAACATTCCCTGGCTCTGTCCTCGATCCCAGGCCTTGCGCTAGACGCTGACATGGAAATGAAGGGCCAGGGCCTCTGCCCGCCAGGAGCGCCCAGCCCCCAGGAAGACCCAGGGCGGCAAAGGCGCACAGCGCAGGGAGGCGGCGGGGAGACTGGGGCAGGGCGCATCGCAGCTCAGAGGACCGGGCTGCCTGGTGACAGCACGGAAGTCTCCCCAGAGGAGGTGGCCTTCAATAGGTGAACACACCGGTGTATTCCTACAGCGGACTATTACTCAGCAATAAGAGGAAATGTACGTAGCCACGAAACGACACAGACAGGCATATTGCTGAATGAAAGAAGCCAGCCTGAAAAGGCCACATGCTGTATAATTCCAATTGTATGACATTCAGGAAAAGGCAAACTTATACAGAAAGTAAATTACTGGTTGCCAGGGGTGCTGAGGGGTAGAAATGAATAGGTGAAGCACAGGGGACTTTTTTTTAGGGCAGTGAAACTATTCTGTGTGATACTGTAACAGTGAAATCAAGACATTAAGCATTTGTCAAAGAGTAAACTGTAATGTGTGTAAATTTAAAAAAAAAAAGCCATTTAGGTGGTCAGGGTCCCAGGACGGGATGAAGAACATGACAGAGAATCTAGCTTTACTGCAGACGTACGAAACAGCCTCTCTGAAGGGGTGGGGGGATAAGATGCTAACCTGGAAAGGAGCGGAGTCTGCGAGAACAGAGGCAGAAGGAACTGCACGTAGCCCCAACTCTAGTTGGGGAGGGGTTCCCCATGGGGGTTAACAATTCGGAAACCTGCACACATGCACTAGAAGTGAAAATGAAGCAGACGTAGGGTGACGATTTCTCACTGCTGGAATGAGAAGCTATAGCTAAGCCAGCAGGGAGGCTGGACCAATTCACTCTAGTAGTGGATTGGAATTGGAGGCATCAATGTGAACTCCTGTTTAACTTAATATAGATACAGTTGCTTACATGCAGAAACATTTACAAATGTATATATACACAGGCTAGTGTGCATGTATCTCCTCACTCTGTATCAGCTGGGAGGGCCCAGAAGCAATCTAGCACTCAGGTCTTGCTTTCTCCAATAAAGTGAACCAGAGCTTCTTACAGAAATGGCTGATTCTAGGACTGGGGCAGGAAATATACAACAGGATCCTGGGGCGTTTTGTGGTGCAGACAGTAATAAAGTGCTGAAAACAAAAACAAAACCCCAAAGGAGACTTGAGTTGGGGTGGTGAACACACAATACAATATACAGATGATGTGTTATAGAATCGTACACCTGAAATCTATATAATTTTATTAACCAATGTCACCCCAATAAATTAAATTAAAAATAAAAATAAAAATAATAAAGCATTAGGCGGGGGGAACTACCCTACAATGATTGGGGTATGTCAAAGGGAGATAGGAGCCCAATGAAAGAGCTTCTAGTGGTCAAAACCGGGACCATTTGAACAACAGAATAAATAAAATAGTATTGAACTATAACTTAAAGTATAAAACAAATGCCTATGGGCCCATATGGATATAAACACATGATTGGTTGAGTAAACAAATAAATGAAGAAATGGGGGGGAGAGACCAATCTCCCACACAGAAGAATTCCAAGTAGTTTACTTCAATACTCTGCCCTTAAGTGCAGGTTGTGCATAGGGATTTCCTTCCAAAGGGTATATAGTATGTAAAATGAGGAGAAAAAGTAATTTTATTTTAGAAATCTGATAGACTCTGCCTCTAGCCAGCTGGTCAAGGTCAACATCAACAGTGATGTCATGTTGACAGTACCCACCCTTGATATGGATGAGAGCACACCTTGCCTCCGTAAACCCAAACCCATAACCCCAACTAGTCATGAAGAAAGCATCAGGCAAATCCCAATTTACAGACAATCTATAAAATTTCCTAAGTGCTGTCAAGATCATAAAAAACAACCACCAAGTCTGAGAAAGCATCACAACCGAGAGGAACCTAAGGAGACATGGCATCTAATGTAACATGGTGTCCCAGATGGGATTCTGGAACAGAAAAGGGACAATCCCGAAAAAAACCGGATGAAATCTGCATAAAATATGGGCTTCAGTTAGTAATAATGTATCCGTGTAAGTTCATTAACTGTGGCAAATGTGCCCTTCTAATGTACGGTGTTAATAGTGTGATGATTAATTTTATGTGTCAACTTGACAGGATCATGGGGTTTCCACCCATGTGGTCAAAC